TGAGCTGCTCCTCCTCCGCGATGCTGACCTCCTTCAGATTGGGTTCCTTGGCGTAGTCTTCCAAGGTCATGGGGGTGCCGAACACGCACTCCGGGCAGAAGCCCATGTGGCTGCAGGCCTCGTGGGGCTTCTCTCCGCAGGCAATGCAGTCCTGCAGCGGCTGGTAATATTCGTCGTGAGGTAGAGCGGCGGCGGCAATGTCGCCAGAGTGAGGCTTGGGGTAGGTGTTGCCGTAGAGTAGCACACGAATGCCGATGCAGCCGACATGCTTGGACCCCTTTGGTCGGCGAGGCCGTAGGTGTCTTGCCACGTTTAGCGTCTTCTTCTTGTTGATGAGCTTGCTGATGGACTCGGTCAACGACTCGGTCCTGATGGCGTGGTTGACGGTCGGGGCGCTATCCGTTTTGGTCCTTCCAGTCGGTCTAGTAGGGGCCTCGGTGCCAGCATCCTTGATCGCTTGCCAACCCTCAGGCTGCGGACAAATCGCGGGGTGACCCGCGCTGCTCGTGACGAGCTTCTAGGCGACATTCCGATGCGGATCTGCCCCTTCCAGAGCGAGGTGTCGATCTTGGAGGGGTGTATGAAGTCTCGTCCGATGAGGAGGCCCAGCGAGGGGCTCTTCACGACGCTGAACACGATGCGGCCGGCCCGGCCGCAGAGCACTAGCGGCGCGGTCACGCGCATCTTGCTAGAGAGGGTGCCCCCGTTGCCGAAATTGTAGACCTCGTCCTCGGGCTTCAGGCTCCTCGAGGATCTGGTCGGCTAGGCCCATCTTGGTAGGCAGATCCTTGTAGTTTTTGCACGATCTGAGACCCGAAACGCAGAAAAGGCAGGCAGTTTCCACTACGCCGATCCCTTCGCCCACGGGCTTCTTACCGCTGGCCGATGCGTTGACGTTTTGGCAAGTGATGTATCAGCCGCTTGGAGACGCAGGCTCCGAAGGAGGCGCCGCCGGCCCCTGCGGGTGTAGAGGCGCCTCTTCGTCCATGAACTGGACCTGCTCGGCGATGTGCGCCTGTCGCTGTGGTCGGCCGCCTCGGCCTCCACCGCGACCGCCCCTTTGCTTGTCCTTGGGCGCAAACTTGCGCGCGCTGGGCGCAGGGCACTTCTTGTCTCCAGTCCAGTGCCCCGTCTCGCCGCAGTCCCAGCACATGGATGTCTGATTGCGCTGGTCGACGCGGCTCTGGAGCTTGCAGGGGCGACGCGCCCCAGTCGGCTTGCCGTCCGACTTGCCGCGGCCCTCGAGGGCTTCCCGGGCCGATCTGACGGTGGCCATGGCCTCGGAAATCGCGGCGCGCTCCGCCACGGCGGCCTCGACCTTGGCGGAGTCGCCACCGTCGAACACCTCAGAGACGTCAACGTTGGAGGATTCGAGCTCGGCACTCAACGCCTCGAGCTCCTGGCGAGACATGCCTTGCACTTCGGCCTCGGTCTCGCCGTCGCCCCCGTCATCCTGTTCTTCGTCGTCGTTTTCCGGCTCGTCGACGACGTTAGTCGAGCGCCCTCGTCGATGTGAGGAGGAGGAAGACTTCCAGCCGCCAGCAGGGCGCGACTGGTTGTTCCACGGCCGCGGTGGCTGCGGCGCGTGGCGCTCTGAGTTGTGGACGTCTGGAAACATCCTCACCAGCAGACCTCGGACGCGCTGGAATCCTTAATGTTCGTCCCGCAGAATGCCCGCGACGCGCTCGAGTCGTTCTGTCGTGAGGCCAGCCTTGCGTAGTAGAAGCCACCCAGTTACGTCGTCCAGCGTGTCGAGGTCCACCTCATCCTCGCGTAGCTGCTGGAGACCGGTCTCGAATCGAATGAGCCAGTCCGTCATGCGTTCACCATGCCAGCGGTGGTGACGAGTCGGCTTGAAAAGCGTCTCGAGGGTCTCGCCCTTTGACCCGGCTTCTGCTGACCTAAATTCGCCTCCAGGTAATTGAGGACGTTCTCGATGCCAAATTGGTTCCGGTTGCGCTTCTGCTCGCCCGCGTCTTCGATGTCGTCCGCAGCTGGCGGGTGCAGTTCCACCTCCGTCATGGTAAGTGCCGCTGCCCTCGCCGTCCCCGTCAGCTTGAGCACGAGCTTGGACGCGAGGTTTTGGGTGACCTCTAGATACTCGCAGAGAATCCACAGCTCCACTTCTCCACTTGGCAGGGTCGCCGTTCCACGTATGAATGGTCGACTGGCCTAGGTGTTGTGCTGATCCGTCATTGTGTCTATGTACTTGGCGTTCTGGTGGGTTGTGAAATGAAATTGAAGTTTTGAAAGAGCGTGAAGTTAAGCTCGTGGGCTTCGCTGAAGTCCTGGGAGAGCGGGAAATTGAACTTGTGGGCTCCGCTGAAGTCCTGAGAGAACGTGACATCGAACGAGAGGGCTTCGCTGAAGTCCTGGGAGTACAGGAAGTTGAGCGAGAGGGCTTCGCTGAAGTCCTGAGGGTAGGCGTCGGGCTGGGCGTCGCTGACGTCCGGGAGGTAGTCAATGAGGGCGTTGGGATTGTGATGGGCGTCGCTAGCGTCCGGGAGGTAGTGAGTGAGGGCGTCGGGCTGGGCGTCGCAGACGTCTGGGACATAGGAGTAGGTGCTAGCGTTGCAGACGCTGGCGGAGTAGGGCAAGGTTAAGACTAAGATCAGGGCGAGGATCGCCCGCAGGACGCCGCTGGGCGTCGATTCCGTGGCTCGCGACGGCGTCGTCGTGGCTGGTACTGATATGGCGCGCGGCGCCAGGCAGCTGAGACCCGCTCCAAGCTACCACTTTGATATGGAATGGTGCGCAGCACCAATGACTTTTGCTGAAAGCGAGCGCGGCTCGAGCGATCTGCGTAGCTCTTAGGCCAAAGGCCCTAAAAATGTTTGGGCCGAGACGGGCAGCGGGAGACAGGGTGAGAGCAGCAATGGAGAGAGCAGGGAACGAGGCGGAAGGTCGGAAGGGCGATCGACATGCTATCGAATCGACCGAAATTACAATCCGGCGGTCTGGTGGTCTGGTGGTTTGGTGAGTTGGCGGCAGACGAGCCCCTCTGCTAGACAAGCCCCTCTGCTGAACGACCCCCCCAAAAAAGCCTTTGAGACAGGTTCTGTCATGCTAAACCTGCCCCTGCTCCTACAGCAGCAGCCATGTGTTGTGCAGCACCCTCTGCTGAACGAGGCCCATCCCCAAGCTGATCTGAACCAGCTCTTTGGTGCTAGAACTTTCCCTGCTCGTGCACTGGCCTCCTCTTCTGTGCAGTGGCCGCTGTTTGACGAGGACCCTCCCCAAGCTGATTCTCACTAGCTTCTTGGTGCTAGACTCTAGACGCTAGACATGCCTGGGTAACCTCATGCCCGTGAGAATAAACACTAGGGGATAATAAAGTTCGGGGTTCAGGGAGAGGTAATAAAAGTAGCCCAGCAGACCTCAGCATAATCTCGAAGTAAGAGATGATCAAGAGGAGACCAAGCCGAGCACGTTTTGAGACATCCTTGGCGTTTAGTTTTCATAGAAATATCCTCAACAACGGCTTATCTCTCATGAAAATTGTTTTTTTGTAAGTGCTCGTGTAGGGTAGCTCATGTGCCTCAATTTCCATGGATAGTCAACCCCAGAGATAAAAAAGTTCAGGCGAGCGTGGGGACAGAGAGAAATATAAAAGAAGAAGAATACAGTAGAAGAATAATAAGAAAGAAGAAGAAGAGGATAATACGAAGAGGACGAAGAAAGGAAACATCCAAAGTTCCAAATCTATCAATTTTAATTTACAAACGCTTTATGAAAATTGATTTTTTTAAGTGCTCGTGTAGGGTAGCTCATGTGCTTCATTTTCCATGGATAATCAACCCCAGGGATAAAAAAAGTTCAGGCGAGCGTGAGGACAGATAGAAATATAAAAGAAGAAGAGGAAAGTAGAATAATAATAAGAACATTGCTCGTTTCGTTTGAGTCTGCCTCCCAAAATTATTGGTTTCGCTTGACACATCCTGAAAAAGTGTGATCGCTTCGCTTGATGTTGCTATATCAACATCGCTTGATGTTGCTATCTCAACATAGCGTTTCGAGGTGATAATGAAGTTCGGCCTCAGCGCTCGCCGCCCAATTTGAATTTTGTATAGGGCGACGATAATCAACTCTAAACACTGAAGGGGGGGTCCCTTTATTATCATCGGCATGCGGTTATCTGCTCGTACACAAGCCCCAATCAGTAGTGCTGTGTGGTGCCATCTGCTGGACCCTTCCCCAATTTGGTTGGCTGAATAAAACATGAGAAGTAGCAGAACCTTGACTTTCATAATGGCTAGACGTGCCTCCTTCGGTGTGCAAGGCAATCCGCTGGACGAGACCCCTTTCCCAAGCTGATGCAACATGCTCTTCGGTGCTAGAAATACCCCTGCTCGTACACAGGCCCCTATCTGCTGTGCAGCACCCTCTGCTGGACGATGCCCCTCCCAAAGCTGCCTATGCTCATACACGCCTATGTTCATACAGAGGCCCTCATCTGGTGTGCAGCGCCCTCTGCTGGGCGAGGCCCCTCCCCGAGTTGATACAACATGCTCCTTGGTGCCAGAATTGCCCCGCCGCATACACGCGTGTCCTCTGCTGTGCAGCGCCCCCTTTCTACCACAGAGGTGCTCCTCTTCGTCAAATTCCTCCTCGTCCTCATCCATCCTCCTCCCACTCTTGTCCTGCTCCTCATCCCACCCCCTTTCGTGCTCCTCCTCCTCCTTCTCCTCCTCCTCCTCCTCATCATCATCATCATCATCATCATCATCATCATCATGATCCCCCCCTCTCGGGTAGGCAGACTTCCCTGACTTTTCAAGCCGCTTTTAGAAAGTCAGCGAGGTCTCTGCCGCTGCGGGAAGACATGGCCTCGGCCTCAGGCGGTCGTCCTCCGCTCCCTTTGCTCCTCCCTCTTCCCCGAAATCATCCCTGATGCTCTGGAGCGTCGATTTCGCAAGTGGTTTCCCGATCGGCGACGTGCACTCCTCTCCCCCTCTCCCGCCGAGACCGCTTCGGAACATCCCACTTTATTGACTGCCCAGGCGCGGCCCCCGGGACACCCGACGAGCCCCCGCCCTGCATGGGCACGGCCACGCCAGCTGGTCCGGTCGAGGCGGCCGGGACGCCGCCGCTGCCCGCGGCCGCGGGCACTCCTCCGGGTGCGCCTGCCAGCCCCCCGATGGGCAGAGGGGCCGCGGCCCTGAAGGCGCTGCTCCCCAGCGCTGCGCCCAGGCACGCGCCGGCCACCCCAGAGGCGATCAGGCGCGTTGGCGCAGCAGACGGCGCAGGATCACCCACGCCGCGAAGTCAGCGCACACACCTGCTGGTGTATGGCACGGCCACCCGCAGGCGCGCTTGCCACGTGAAGGTGGCCGCGCTCATAGAGGAGCAGGCCATGAGCACCCGCGGCACTGCCTTCAGCGCAACGGCGTCCCGCGACGCCGAGGAAGAGGAGGAAGACGAGGAAGAGAGCCAGGGCGATCCGTGGGGTGTCACCAGGTTCCCAGAGAGCGCCGTGGAGAGCCTGGCCGCGGAGATGGCCCGGCGGCGGCGGCAGCTCTGCTGTGACGCCACCGGGGCGGTGGCGGGGAACGCTCCGCACTGTTCGCTGATCACCGGCAGCCGCTCGCAGCGGCGGGCCGCTGTGGCGTTGCTGAGCCTGCTCCGCACTGCTGCGCACATAGGCATCGGCGCTATGGCCATCGATTCGGTGCCGCAGGAGCTGGGACCGCTGTGCCTCCGCGTCCGGCAGCCCGAGGCGGCCATAGAGGCCGCGGTGAGGATGTTCGCGCGGCAGGAGTGGCCCGTTTTCTCCTTCTGGACTCCGCCCCCGGAGCATCCACCGCTGGAGCGGCAGCTGCACCAGCCGGCAATCGGTGAGGCATGGGCTTGTCATTTTTTTGTCTCTCTTCGTGTTGTCTGCAAACGTATCATGGGCATAGCCAAAGCAAGCATGATATAAGATACCATACTTTTAACCAGACCCCCCGGATGTTAAAGGAGACCCACCCTTAACACGAGAGAGTTTACTATCCTCGACCAATACAGATTCGGTCGGGGGAGAGGGGCGGCAAGGTCGAATTTTCTCATCGCGGGGAAAGTTTCGAATCGAAGCTGTTTTCTTTTAATGATGACTAGCAACATCATCAAAAGCGTGTGGCATGGCAATGGGGGTCTCACCATCTCGGATCTGGCCAGATTTTGGATCTGAAGAATGCGGGCAAGGATCTGCAAGAGCACGGGCCAAGGATCTCGAACTCATTATCATCATCACCTTCATCTTCATCCTCCTCCCCAACGTCCTTTATGCTGCGTTCTGCCAGGAAAGCTTTCATTATCCCCCTTGGACCCCGAACTTTATTGCCACCCAGGGTTTATTATCAGGGGTAGTTGGTTAGACAATAGTACAGATGATGGTAGACCGTGCAACAACAGTTTAGAACATGATTTAATAAAGCATGCTGCAACGAAACATAGGGAGACCATACCAGAACATAGCGGCCACTATTCTGGTATAGTTGAAACGACAAGTCCTCAACCTAACAGAGCATAGCGGAACAGAAGCTACCATATCATCCTGGACTATCGGCACCTACCCTGTTCGTTTTAGATCGCACCCCCCTTGGGGCATATCTTCTTTACTTGCCACGTGTAGTTGGCGCAGCTCGTAAAACAGGAGAAGGGAGGAAAGAAGGAAGAGACGAGGGGGAGGGAGAAGGATGGAAGACGAGAGGGATTAGCAGGAGAGGGGGCTGAGAGCAGGGAAGCAAGTCGCAGAATCGCACAGGCGGGCCGGGCGGGCGGACCCTGACGAGCGGGTCGTGCGGACGGGCCCAGACGGTCGGGTCGAGCGTGCGCGTCGCTGAAGCGTTGGTATTTCATGCATCGTGGGGAATTATCAAGCGACAGCGCGATTCCCAAGCCAATCGTGATGAAGTCCCAAGCGAGAGCGTGATTCGTGAGTGTCGAGGCGAGGACGCGGCGTGTCAATAGATTGGGAGGAAGTTCTACGCGAGAGCGCGAACCCTGAACAACATGTCAAGGGTTCTTGCGCGAGAGCGCGATTTCGAATCAATTGTGAAGAAGAATCAGGCGGGAGCAATTGTTGTCGTGAAAAGGGGGCAAGGGCACAATCTGAGGCGCAAGACTTTCCCTTGTAAAAAAAAACGGTGTGCGAGGACTGGAAGGGGCATGCCAATAGAAAAGCACTGGGTGCACCGGTTGGGGGGATCAACAAGAATTATGTTTTAGAAGCGAGAGAGACTTCGCTCTTATCTGCTCGCGTGTCACTCAACATGTACATCCCGAACCCTCGCAACCCACCCTCGTCGTCTTCGACCGTGCCACGTGTAGCTGGGGAAGCCTCTAAACAGACGAAGGGAGGGAGGAGGGAAGGGACAAGAGGGAGAGAGAAGGATGGAGCACGAGAGAAACTTTCAGGCGGGGGAGTAAGAGCAGGAAACACAGCGGCAGAGCTACACGGGCAGGTCGGGTGGGCGGACTCTACTTGTCGGGTCGTGCAGGCGGGTCCAGACGGCTGGGTCGAGTGGGTGGGCCGCTGACACAGCAGCCCTGCATGGGTCGCAAGGACGATTCGAGCAACAGCGCGATTCCCAAGTAGATCGTGAGGGGGTCCAGAGCGAGACATGATTCCTGAGTGTCGATGGCGCGGCGTCTGAATTAATTGGATGGCCCGTGCGAGAGCACTATTCCTTCATAATTTGTAGGGAATCCTACGCGAGAGCGCGATTTTGAATTAACTGTGAGGAAGTAGTAGACGGGAGCCGTTGCTGTTGCTGTTGTTGTTGGACAGTCAGTTCTCCATAATGGTTATTGTGGATCATCCCATTATTGTGCGCCCGATGTTTTTTCAATTAAAATACTCCTACTGGGGCTCGGACCCTTTTTTTACAAGGGATCGCGAGGGATCAACAGATTGGCCCCCCTGGCCGCCGAATTACAACAACAACGTCGCCCGCCCGTCGGGACTTCGTCACAAGTCATGCAGGGGCCGCGCTCTCGCGTGTGACTTCCTCAAAATGTGTTCAGACGCCGCGCCTTCGACACTCAGGAATCGCGCTCTCGCATTGGTTTTTGTTCAAGAGTTATTTCGGAATCGCAATATCGCTCGAGCACTCCTCGCGATCGATGTGGTTTTCACGCTTCAGCAACCCGCCTGCTCGACCTGGCCGCTCCGCCTTCCCGACCCGCGCGTTAGGCCCTGCCCACCCGATGGGCCTGTGTGGTTCTGCCAGGTGTTTTCTGCTCCTAGCCCCCCTCCTGCCAGTCCCGTGATCAATCCGTCTCCCTTCCCCTTCTATCCTTCCTCCCTTCTCCTGTTTCAGGGTCTGCGCCTATTGCACGCGGCAGGTTAAGAAGATACGCCCCCAGGCTGATACCATCGAATAATAAGAGGGCGGGTACCAAGGGCTTGGGATAGAAGTGTTGAATGGCACGCTGGCAGGTAAGAGCAAACAGTCTTTATGTACTTGATTGCTGTAGTTGGTGAGTTCTCATCTCCGAAAAATAATTATTGTTGACACCCCCTGCCTGGTAACCGTTACATTTTTCAATCGAAGGGTTCCTCCTAGGGCTCGCACCTTGTCTTTCTACAAGGGAAAAGGACATATCACCAAATTGCGCCCCTGGCCCCGGGTCTACATCAACAGCGGCTCTCGCTTCACATTTCGTCACAATTGATTCCCAAGGCGCGCCCTCACGCTTTATGTAGGAATCGCATTCTCGCGTGGGACTGCCTTACAGTTTATTCAGACGCCGCGCCCTTGACACTCAGGAGCCACGCTCTCCCGATGGATTTCCTCACGATGTATCCCGGAATCGCGCGATCGCTCGAGACTTCCTCGCGATTCTTGCATGACGCACGCTTCAGCAACCCGCCTGCTCGACCTGGTCGTCTGGGCCCGCCTTTCCGACCCGCCCGTTGGGGTCTACCAGATCGATTTGCCCGTCTGATTCTGCCAGGTGTTTTCTGTTCTTAGCCCTCCTCCTGCTATTTTCTCTCGTGTTCCATCCTCCTCCCTTCCCCTTTGCCCCTTCCTTCCATGCGTCCTCTCTTCCCTTGCCTTAGGGGCTGCACGAAGTGCACGTTGCAGGTAAGACAGATCACCCCTAAGGGGGTACGATCGAAGACGAAGAGGGCGCGTGTCAATGGTTTAGGATATACGTGATGAATGGCACGCGAGCAGATAACAGTGGTCACTCTTAACGTGATGGTCGTTGTTGTTGTTGCTGTTGCTGTTGGTGATGTTGGTATGGTTGTTGGTGTTATTGGTGTTGTTGGTGTTGTAGCTGAATTCTCACGACGGAAGAGTAATTATGGTTGACCCCCCCCTGGTGACCACTGTGTTTTTTCAGTTGACGTGCTTCCCCCAGGACTCGCACCATGGTTTTGATCAGGGAAATGCACGAGGCTCAAACTGGGTAGTTGGCCCCCGGAGTACAGCAATAACAACGGCTCCCGCCTGAGACCGCCTCACAATTTAGCCAGGACCCCCGCTCCCGCCTGAGACGTTCTCGCATTTGATTCAGGGATCGCGATCTCGCGTGGGACTTCTTTCCAACTTGTTCAATAATCGCTCTCGCGGCGCTCTGGAGTCGCGCTCTCGCTGGGGATTTATGTGCAATGTACTAAAGAATCGCGCTCTTGCGTTGGAATTCGCTGCAATTTACTCAAGCGCCGCGGTCCCGACACTCAGGCACCCAGGAGTCGTCGCGCTCACGTTTAGGATTCACCCACAGCTTGTTCAGGAATATGGATATCGCTGCCCTTCGTGGCCCCGTTGCAGCCCTTCGTGGCCCCCTCGCTGCCCTTCGTGGCCCCGTTGCAACCCTTCGTGGCCCCCTCGCTGCTCTTGGTGGCCCCGTTGCAGCCCTTCGTGGCCCCCTCGCTGCCATTAGTGGACCCGTTGCAGCCCTTGCGTGCCCCCCTCGCTGCCCTTCGTGGCCTCGTTGCAGCCATTCGTGTTCCCCTCGCTGCCCTTCGTGGCCCCGTTGCAACCCTTCGTGCCTCCCTCGCCGCCCTTCGTGGCCCCGTTGCACCCCTTCGTGCCCCCCTCGCTGCCCTTCGTGGCTCCGTTGCAGCCCTTCGTGGCCCCCTCGCTGCCCTTCGTGGCCCCGTTGCAGCCCTTCGTGGCCCCCTCGCTGCCCTTCGTGGCCCCATATCTGTATGCCCTTTGGGGCCCCCGCTCGTTCGCGCCCTTCGTGGCCCCATATGCATGCGTTTCGTGGCCCCGCTGTCGCCTTCCGTGGCCCCGTCGCTGCCCTTCGTTGCCCCGTTGCTGCCCTCGATGGCCCCGTCCTTGCCGTCTGCAGCCCAATATTCGTATGCCTTTCATGGCCCCCGCTCGTTCGCGCCCGTCGTGGTCCCATATGCATGCCCTTTGTGGCCCCGCTGTCGCCCTTTGTAGCCCCCTCGCTGTCCTACGTTGCCCCGTTGCTACGCTCAGTGGCCCTGTCGTTGCCTTCTGTGGCCCAGCATTATCTGCCCTTCGTGGCCCCCGCTCGTTCGCGCTCTTCGCGGCCCCATACGCATACCCTTCTTGGCCCCGCTGTCGCCCCTCGTGGCCCCCCTTTTTTCCCTCCGTGGCCCCGATGTCGCTCTCGCTCGCGTATTCGCTCGTCGTCGTCGTCGTCGTGGTCGGTCCCCTGTCCGTCCCTCTTGGGGTCGGGTTGCCGCCGATCAGCGCTGCCGCTGGCCAGGCCGACGGTCCGCGGCCGCCCCGCCGCATGCCGGGGCCCGGCCTGCAGGGAAGAAAAATATACCTTTGACAAGGGACAGGATCGAAGACGAAGAGGGCGGCTACCGAGGGTTCGGGAAATACACGTTGAATGACACTCGAGCAGATAAGAGCGATCAGTCTT